CGATCCCCCAAAACCCCAAAACCCCAAAACCCCTTTAAAAGATAGCGAAATTGTATAAATATCAATATAATTATGGCTAATCATCAAGATCTGATCCGCAAACTGGCTTATTGCAGTCATATCTTTCTTTTTATAGTCAACCAGAAGAATGTCACAGATTAATATCATCCTTATCCCACAAGTACCTAATTATATACTTTGGAACCAAATTAAACTCTAAACTATTTCACATTCTCTAAATTAACTTACTCAATCATCTTTCTTTATAGAGTCAAGGATCTCTTCTGCTCCAATCTCCAAATAATTCTAGCAGGAATTTTCAAAACTTCCCAACTTGCTTCCAAGTTGTTAAGTGAAGACCTTCAAACCTACGATCTAAGCCCAATGGCTTCTGACTACAAGTAAGGCTCCCTCGAATTCTAGATATTTGCTTTACAAATGGAGTCTAAAATGTTCTTCCCCAGAATGTATTCAAATACTGATAAACCTCATTGAAGAAGCAGCCTCAATAGATTCACAAGAAGAACAAATTCTCTGCAAGAAGTTCCTAGGATCACTTGTGTAAGTTAGCAATCTCATTCTGTATAATAGATATGGATGCCTGGGTAAGCTTGTTAATATCCCTACTTTTTACTTTCTCTCTTCCTAGCTATTTATCGTTTTCAGATATCAGAATTCAACAAGTTAGTCACTCTTCTTGAAGAGAAAGGCATCGGTACTTTGTCAGAATATCCTAATAGATCTGGAGATAATATCCTTCATCAGCATGTACAAAGTAAAAGTTAGTGTTAAACCTTCTAGAAGTATTTCCATTCGCACGCTATTGGTATTCCTTCATAACAATCTGCAATAGGCGAGCCAACCAAGTATTGCTCACAACCAACATTTTATGGGTCCAATCCAGATCTGAATATGAGCAAAGGTATCGAATTGCTAGAAATACCTCTAGTGCAAAGATTCGGAGAATTAAATGATCATGAGTACACCCAAGTGTCATTGTTTAGACTCACTTGGCTTCATGATTGAAGTGTCGACCAGCTTAAATGGATCAATAATGAATACTGTACCCTTCGAGAGTTATTACCATAGATGTAACTGTGCAAGAGTTGATTAATAACAAAGAGTTCCTTCGGAGACTAGCTTGAATTAGGGAAATTCACATTCACCAAAGAAATTTATTCAAGATTATTAAAAGCTATGAAGAGTTAGATGAGTTTGCAAAACTTATTCCGAGCTGTGATAACCTCACAATTTCAAATGCAGATATGGATTTAGACGATATGAAAATAGTGATGAAGAGTGAGCTCTACAGCCAACTTAACAAGTAAGCTTTACCGTATATTATAGGTTTTGAATGACTAGTGCAAGGTAAAGTCCACCTTAAATTAAACAGACCTTTTGCCCATTTCTTGCAATGTTTAAATGGCTCAATATAGCAGAAAAATTTTATAAGAAAACAATGTGATTTAAAAACCTTGAGCTTTACTTGAGCCAGGCATCTTTTTCAATCGGGCAAGACATTGTGGTCCATTGAGAAGATCTCAAACTTCACTGTAGCGAGAGTGATTACAATATTAGTGAAGGCCAAATTGAAATTTCCAGATTTGAGGTTAGTTCCTTCTTAATATGTTGGACAATCGCTATGGAGAACTTTAGAGTAGAAATGGATCAAACTCTACAGAGTAAGATTGATCTCCAATAATCTAGAAACATCTCAGGATGCTTGAACCAGACTCAGAATACCACTTTCTCTTGGAGAATTCACAAAACTCAAAGGAATTGCTGTCAACCATTATTTTAAGGAAAGGTATTCATATCGTTATTACAATTAGGAAATGTGTCTTGAAGGCCCTGCTAAATATGATTATAATGAGTCGCTATCCAAGAGAATGCTTCCAAGTAATCACAGACAAATCGAGTACATCCTTGGGTCCATGAAATTCAACTTCGAAGATTTCAAGAAAGAAATTAAAGCTTTGGATAATACTTGTCCTGTATCTTTAGTTTATAATCTTCCTCAAGCGCAGGATTTAGATGATTTCAAAGCAATTCTTGACATTATGCTCTCAAAGAGACTTACTGAGCTACGAATCAATTTTAATTTTCAGAATAAAGAATGTGCAGAATACCTCTGTGGAATGCTCGAACAGAATAAAATTCTTTGTAGTCTCTATGTGACATTTATGGACAAATATTATGGGTATTCTATTCTTGAGTCAATATCCACACTAGATTCTCTAACTTTCTTATCCCTAAAATCAGATTACTCTTGTAATCACCCTATTATGGAAACTATTGGTAAGGCCAAGGCTTTCTAAGATACGAATAATTGTATAGAGAAATACTTGAGTGAGTTCCAAAAGCCCTTTGAAATCAGCATCCCAAACCAGAATAAGACGTTCAAAAGTTTTAATAACTTCTATTAATTACACCAATTACAATTAATACCTCAGGGGTTTTGGGGTTTTGGGGTTTTGGGGTTTTGGGG